ACATTATGAACGCAGTTGAAAATATCACTGTGCCTATGGTTTGCTCATCCAACATGGTGACTACAGCTTTTGTTCTTGACTCAATGAATTTTAGACTAGTGGTTTCGATAGTGGTTATTGCCGCCCCGACATACTTTTATTATTATATAGACTAATTGTTACACTTCATTATTACTCCTGGAATGCCTGAGAAAAATCAGCTAAGTCATTGAGCTTTCTATATTCGTTACCACTTGACTTGTCTAATTCCGCCAGTCTTGCTGCTGCCCCAGCTCGATTCAAAACTTGCCTAAGTTTTATATAATGGAGGGCAGTTTTACTACTCCTCCATCCTATGTGATCCATTATCTCATGTAATGCAGCACCAGATAACGCAAGTGAGTCGGCTGTGGCGCCACTTCGAAAACCATGTAAAGTAACTCGCCTATTCCCAAATACATGCTTCAGGGACGAAACGTATTCCTTGAGCCTAGCTTGTGCAACAGAGGGATTGAGACACATTGCGTAATGAAAAATTGTGTAATGCTAATCTCAGCGGTGGCGGTCAAGAAATTTATCGCTTTTATTCAAAAATTCTTTTTCAAAGAGTCACTGTCTGTAATGTCAGTATCAGCTTCACCGTCCCATCGCTACTAATAACTTGGTGTAAGCGTAAGAACACAAAACGTCTTAAAATTATAGTAGATAAACTTTTAGAGAAAGACAAAATGTAATAACTAAAATTTCGGATGACCATGTTTTTCTCATATGCCAAACGAGCTGATATACTAACAAGATCATACAAGATGTCATATTCAGATTTTCTTGACTAAAATGTTTTGGATAAAAGGATGTCAAATAATTGTTATCCCTCCTTCGACGCACAGAAAACACAAGATTTTTTTTAGGAAAACTAGTTTCTGTGCGTCGAAGGAGGGATAACAGTTATTTGACATCCTCTAAAATGAAGTTTAGAAACTCCTTTAAAATCAAAATCCAAAAAATATCAAGAAACCAAAAATAACTTTTAAACTTTTACATAGTAAGACTATCGAGAAAATCAGGTCAAGTTCGGACTACTTCCTTCTTTGCATTGTATGCGGGCTTCCTGTTGAGATTACAACCGAAAAAAGCTGAAAACTAGTAGACAGTATATTACGGATATTATTTTTATAATTTTAGGTTTACTTCTCCCAAGAAATGGGCCTAAAATCATCTACGTTGCTCCAAGAAGAAGACATTGAAGAAATTCAACGAGAAACTGGGTGTAAGACTCAAATTTAGTGTTGAATATCGTAAACTTACTTATTTACTTCAGGGGGTATAAACGTAGATTTCGAAATCAAGATGGCCGTCTGTGTTTTTCTTGTAGTTTCTCCTAAACAGATCACCCGATTATACAGTCGATTTCTTAGCCTTGACAAGGGAAATCAAGGAACTTTAAGGTTAGTCACATTTCACTGAAATGGCAGGACATTATGTGGGTACTGTGGGTACTGTGAATTTCGTAGTTCCCAGTATTACGCTTAAGCTTAACTTTTATTCTGAGTTTTTCCCCTCGGAAGGCAATAACGCCACGCACAAAAGACCTCCAAACCGGCATGGTTAATGTGACGTTTTTGCTACAACCTTTGTGTCTTTCTCAAAACAATTTCATTAATCTCAAGAAAATAGAACTTTTGAACGTTTACGACACTACCTTAATTTCCATTGCATTGTGGGATTAGTTTCTAGAAAACAAAAGAAATCTGCCATGTTCTGTCCCAACCATATCCTACAATGCATTGCAAATACAGTAACCTTACAATCTCATACCCAGCGCCACTGTCCCTTTTACTGCGCATGCTCGACGAAAAACAAGAGCTCTGGAAATATCAAACACCGGACGTCAGAAACTGGCTATTTCACCCATGCGCAGTAGAAACCCGATCTAACGGCTTTATTTTACTGATTTTGCTCAAGAAAATCGGCTAAATGAAAAGCTTCGAAGTCAGAAAAGGGATTTTTTTAGACCATAGATGATAAATCTATCTTCTTCGAAGCTATTTTGATATCTATTATGATCAGATAGTAGCAGACAGTGACGGTTAGTGATTATCATGGCGTGACAGTTCGTCGCCTCGTTGTATTCCATTTTATACTTAATTGATCATATTACTCTCAAATTCCTACTTCATAGACTTAATAAATGCTTTTAAAGGAAGAATTCAAGGTGAGGTAGCGAAATACAGAATGATTTGAGTGTTTTTCTCCGTGATATTTTCACTTCCGGCGGCAAGCTGTTTATTTTATGAGCCAATCAGAGAGCGAGAAATTTTCGAAATTTACAGAGTCACTGTTTTTCGTCGAGCCTGTGAGCCTGCGAGTAAGAGGGACAGTGTCGCTGGGTACGAGATTGAGTAACCTTACATAAAAGTTTCTTAGGTCTATTTTCACAGGTGACTTACTTGAGGTATTACATATGACGTTATTTGTGACATAATCCAGTGAATTATAACATTTTCTAGCAGAAAACAGCATATGACGTGTTAGAGCTTTTTTAAAGTATTATGTTAATTTGGTTACTCATTGCTGACTAAAATGAATTTCTTTGTGATTTATAAAGATTGACAAAATAATATATGATTTTCCAAAATACCGCATTAACCTCGCTGATTTGGAGGTTTTGTGTGCCTGTTGTGCAGCAATTTTCTTTCTTCTTTGGAAGGGGGGTTAGGGAGGGGGATTTCCTTTCTTTAAATTTTATTGAATTTCAATATTAGGAAATATTGTTTTCCCTTCAAAAGCAGCAAATTTTATGAATTCATGAGTAACTATAAGTAACTGCGAGCTTTATTTGTTACAGTCGAGAGGACTTTCTAAGAATACCTGAGCTGGCAATCAATCCACTTGGTGATAGAATCGTTGATGCATTCTTCATGCATGATAACAATGCGTAAGTGCAACTGTGAAGGCAGATCCAGCAAATTTGTAGGGGGAAGGGGTAGGGTTGGCTAATTGAGTTCTTCAACATGATGGAACTGAACCCCTTTCAACCACATTTTAAAAAAGTATAAGCCTAACTCCCAGTATTCTGTGTTCCTTGGTAGTAGGTCAGCAGATTAATGTCTTCGATAATGTACATACTACAGCTATAGTATCCTAATATTTCAACCAGGGAGATTCTAACCTGAATCACGGGAAGGTTTTCCTAAAACCATCTTACATTTTGTCATAATTCAAAAAGCTAGTTACAAGGTAACTAAATGTATGTTGTAGTTCAGGTTCAATATATTTTTGAACCAGTTAAATCTAGAATTTCTTTGTACGCAGGCATAATTTCTAAAAATAAATGAATCCTCTACGTTTACTAGTGATTTCAGCCTAAGCGGCCATTATCAAGGTAGAGTACACGTAAGATTTTAAACAACGCAAAAAAACGGAAAGAACGCGAGGAAACACAGCAATACAGCGCGAGCTAATTACAATAGATAAAATGTAAAATGAAATGGAATGTAATTAAATGGAGTGAAAAGAAAAGGAATGACAGACTAKAACAGTGAAGCAATTAGATATATATGTAACAAAAAACTTAAATGAACTTAAATAATAGTAAACGCAGAGGATTCATTTATTTTTAGCAGTTAAATCTAATTTGTTCCAGTACAAGACTTCTTGTACTGGTCTTTTTTTTGGCTTCGGCATTCTTAAAAGAACTAAAAGTAGTATATCCCATCTCATTCTCTCCCATTTTCTATCTATCATCTTATTTTCTACCTTCTACTATTTCCTACTTTATCTTACCCTATACCTCACAGAAATATTGATATTTTCTATATTTTTAATTTATGAATAACACTTAACTTCATCAAGGTTTGAACCACTGAACTCTTGCTTCATAGTCCACATACTACCAATTATACCATCAAGGATTTTGTTGGTATTAATGTTTGCAAATTGTTTTTTATTTTAATTGTAATTTATTAATGAAGAAAATTTTATATAATGCTGGCTCAACCCTATTCCCAACCCTAAACCTAACCCTAAACCTAACCCTAAACCTAACCCTAAACCTAACCCTAAACCTAACCCTAAACTGATTTGCACTGGATTGAGTTATGTTGGACTGGCTCAAAATAAACTGAACCAGTACAGAAGAAATTGAACTGGTTCAAAAGCATGTTGAGCCTGAACTACAACATGTACATGATATTTGCATTGGGTCAGACAACATCATTTGTATTACAAGCAAAATAAAAGGAAAAATCAAATGTGATGTCTGCAGTAATACTGATAGGTGTATGTGATGTCATGTCTGTCGTAATACTGATAGGTGTATGTCATGTCTGTCGTAATACTGATAGGTGTATGTCATGTCTGTCGTAATACTGATAGGTGTATGTCATGTCTGTCGTAATACTGATAGGTGTATGTCATGTCTGTCGTAATACTGATAGGTGTATGTCATGTCTGTCGTAATACTGATAGGTGTATGTCATGTCTGTCGTAATACTGATAGGTGTATGTCATGTCTGTCGTAATACTGATAGGTGTATGTCATGTCTGTCGTAATACTGATAGGTGTATGTCATGTCTGTCGTAATACTGATAGGTGTATGTCATGTCTGTCGTAATACTGATAGGTGTATGTCATGTCTGTCGTAATACTGATAGGTGTATGTCATGTCTGTCGTAATACTGATAGGTGTATGTCATGTCTGTCGTAATACTGATAGGTGTATGTCATGTCTGTCGTAATACTGATAGGTGTATGTCATGTCTGTCGTAATACTGATAGGTGTATGTCATGTCTGTCGTAATACTGA